TTTAGAGTGTAGTCATTACATACAAAAAGACAAACCATTTCGATTTATAATATTAAATTATTTTTTTTACTATTGTAGCATCATGGTAAATGTTGAAATAAGCAAAAGGTGATAAGTTCCTTGTAAAGGAATATTAAAATGTTTATGTAGATATAATTAAGACAGTAGGGTGTTACGGTTGTTAGTTAATCAGTCCAGCGTGACTTGGAAGAAGTGAAAAATTACTTTATAATTTAACATAGCTACAAAACACGGTATAAAATGTACTTGAATTTCGTCACCATATCTTAACATTTTTTTATCTTGATGGTACAGCAATCGCTTCAAAAACTGTTCACGTATTTATCACGGCTCTTGTTTATGGAAGTTTTTTATGTGTTTAAAGATCTTTTAAAAAATAGACGTTAACTCTTGGACTACAAACTGTCCTACATAACTCGAATGCGCAGTGCAAAAGTCTTCTCTTAAGCTATTCCCATGCGGCTTCATCCGCATTATAAAAACTTTATTTTATCGTTTACATTTGTCAAATTATCAATTACAAATGTCAAAATGACATGATAAGATGACAATCCATGGCAATCTTGTTTCCTTGATGTTGGCAGCAACTTATAGTCTCTTTCCCACATTAATATTTTTATCCAATTTATTTACCCACTAAGTTTAATAGCGTAAAAATATTTAGCTTAAAGCGTGACGTAAGTGTAGGCCTTTTTATTAAAAAAAAAAAAGAATTATTCAAAAATATGCTGTAATTGCTGACATCTTAGGCAACAAAGAGTGTGTGTTTACGCTTTATTATAATAGTATAGATTTAAATTTGTTATAATTAAAAACAGCCTGTTTAACTTTGATTGGTTTGTTACCATCAGAAACTTACAAGAAGAAAAACGGACCAAGAAAGGCATCCCAGCCATGTAAACCGACTGTTATTGTATTGACATTCTTAACATGTGTGTTGTCTCTCGTTTTGTCTAAACAATTACATATCTAAAGACGTTTTTTGCGACATTTTTGAGATAAACTCATGCATTTATCTGGTCAACATGTCTATGCGTCGATCATTGATAAAATGAAAAATATCAACGCATCGGTAGTAACTTGATGATACAAATAAGGACACCCTAGGTCCCTGATTAAAAAATACGTCAGAGGAAAAAAAATAAGGACATACCCGTCGATATCGTGCTATTTAATACATTTCATTAATAAAGTAAAGAGTTTTCATTAAATTAAATACTCACGACATCGTGAAATTTAAAAAAATAATAAAAAAGTATAGCCTATGTTACTCACTATTAACGTATCTTTTTAATGGTGAAAGAATTGTTTAAATCGGCCAAATAGTTTTTGTGTTATTTCAACATATACAAAAATACAAATCTTTATAATACTCTTTATAATGTAGTCTCTCTGTTGCTGGCGACTTCGCATGCGGGAATTTAAAAATTAAAAAAATACATAGCCTTTGTTACTCGATGATAACGTAGCCTTTTAATGGTGAAATAAGTTTTGAAATCGGACCACTAGTTTTTGAGTTATTTCAATGCATACTAAAAACCAAAATCATAAAAATACAAATCTTTCCTCTTTATAATATTAGTATAGATATAGTATAGATTACAGTAATGGCCGTCATATTCTTAAGCATGATTTTTAGATGCTCTATTTAACAATATACTTTGTTTCAATATTCTTATGTACAAAGTTAAAATGTGTTTTTGAATAAAATTTTGTATGAAACTATGATTGCGGTCGTTCTCACATTTGTGTCGATGCTATCAGCTCCCCTTCCCGCGTCCTCAGGGTCGTCCTTATACCACTGATATAGAAACACCCGCATTATAGACCGGTTTATTTATCAGATTCGAAAGTCAATGTGTTTTTAACATATGAGGTAGTATGTGACAATGTGTTAAAACTTACAGATAAATTGCAACGTAATCATTACTTAATTAAGAGTCAGTCCTACCACATTCTTGTAAATTGTCAGATAATAATCCAACGTGTAATATGTGATGGGAAAGATTTTGTTACTCTATCTGACAGTGTCGTCATTTTTAAGCTATCTGAGCCTCTATCAGCCAGTGGCGGGAATAGACCTTAATCATACTAAAATTATAAATGCGAAAGTTTAAATGTTTGGATGTTTGTTAAAGTTTGCAGCCTTAACGGCTGAACGGATTTCAATGTAGTTATTTAGAGGTTACTCAATTTTGTATTTTTTCAATTTCACACAGATTCGCGGGCGAAAGCTAGTGTTAAAGTAAAGTATAGCTGACTCTCGACTGGTTAAACGAAGACAAAAGAGTTGGCAACTCACGTGCGTCGACCCTATTAAAGTGTAGGTGAAAACGTCTTACCCTCTTGATATAAACAACGCAAACCAAAGTGGGAGCACTGAGTCACAACGAAGGTGCTTCACCCTCGGTGTTTACGTTGGAATTCTGCAAATGTTTATTATTATATCTGCCCTCTGGATACCTTCAGGTAGAATTAGTATTAATCTCGTGTTGTTTGTTAAGACTTTAATGTGATTTTATACCACGATATATAAAATAGTGTAAATAAACTTTAACATGTCGTCGTATATAGAAAAATGTCATTTTTAAAAATTTCGGAAAATTTGATTATTACTAAAAAGGGTAACAATACTTTTATCTATAAAAGATATTTTAAGAAATTAAACGTGAACTTCATGTTACGCTTATTAAAGCTAAATATTGTTAACAGTAGGCTCTTTTTAGTAATAGTCTAATTTTCCGATAATTTCGAAAAATATCTTTTTTTTAATTGACCATACGTTTAAAACTTATGGAAGTACTACTAAAAAGGAAAGAGCTATTGTAGCCATAGCTTACACTTGTAGCCCTCTCACTCGGGTTCCATTTTATTTTGCATGCAACAAGACTCTTCCGCCCTTATCATAAGGTTTTATTTTCTTAATTTTAACTGCAAGGTGTACAGAAAAAACGCATTCCTGTTCTAGTAGTACTTCGATGATAAAATTATAAAATCGTAACGTTTGTCATTTGTTAAATTTGAACTTTTAAGAAGATAATTATTGTGATGACATCAGCTTTGACCACTATCATTGCTTCACTTTCCATAATACGGTCTAACGCACATTTATTGTATTCTAAAAGCGCACTTCCTCCTTAACGTCAAGGTTCATTATGGTAGGATACAAGGACTTTCACTACTTCAGTTATAAAAAACCGACCGATAACCGTTTAATGGTTTCTTATCTTTATGGCACTTAAATTTAATGTGAACACTTTAATTACTTACAACTGACCGTGGCTTTGAACATGACATGTAATACGGAAAAATAAGAGTTACTAGCTGTCGCTCGCGACTGCGGCGCGTAAATTTAAAAACAGTGGAACCTCGATAAGTTAAAGTCCAAGAGAAACACAAAATACTTTAAGTTATCGAGGTCTTAAGTTATCAAGGGTCTATGCTGTAGAGGTTTTGGGCTCTGATGGGAAGGGGACGTATTATTTTTTGAAGTTATAGAGGATTTTAAGTTATCTAGGTTCTACTGTAAATATAAAAAAAAACATAGCCTATGTTACTTGATAACGTAGCTTCTTAATGGTAAAAGAATTTTAAAAATCGGTCCAGTAGTTTTTCGGTTATTTCAATACGTACAAATATACAAATGTTTCGTCTTTATAATATTACTATAGATTAGACAAATTGTGGTGATGTCTTTTAGTAGTAAACCGCCCCGGTTTTCCTCATACATAAAAGTGAATAAACACGTATTTTTCGCTGATAAAAAACAAGTTGTTGCATCCAGTTGTTTACAAAGGGGTTTGCCAATTAACATAAACATCTTTTTATTTGGGTTTCGGTGTAAGGATGAATAGGCGCTATTCTTAGTTGTTTCCTTCTTTCTCTAACATATGCCGTTCGGAGATGAGATTATGTATTCATTTTAAATTATGTTATTTTTTATGTTGTTGTCCCATCCAGAAGGATTAAATAACTTGTAAATCCATTCTCATATTATAAAGAGCATAGATTTGTATTTTTGTATGTATAGAAGTAACTCAAAAACTACTGGACCGATTTTAAAAATTCTTTCACGAGAAAACCTTTCTAAGGGTGAAAAAATAAAGTGTAACATAGGCTATATTTTTTATTATCTTTTAATTTCACACGGACGAAGTCGCAAGCAACAGCTAGTTTACTTAATAAGTAGTGACTCAATTACTTGTTGACATCATTTGACGCGTTTGTTGAATTCTTTATAGCTTACGTTAGCACTTTTAGCGATTGTTTTTCATATAACTGCGTTACAGAGAATGACATGAATAATTTTGCATATTTCGATGTGTTTGAGATTTTTGTGCCATAAATAAAATTCAATAGGTATTGTGGGGCATTTTCTTTTATTTTATAATTAAAACTCTATTCGTTTTACACATCGGCATTATAATATTTGTAAAATTCTGTATTACTGTATAAAAAAATAACTTCGGCTCTTAACTTCGCCTAAAATAAAAAAAAGTTGTTCAAGACATACAAAAATTTAAATCTTTCATATTTATTGGTATAGATAAAATGTTTTGTGATTTACATACGATGTTAATTTATATTTGAAATTGCCGGTAACAAACAACACAAAGAGATCGTTAGCTGAGTTAATATTTTGATGTAGTTAAGAACAAAACACAAACGATAAAGATTCACTCTGTAATAAAAAAAACATGACAAAAACTTCATATTTATAAAATTAACCGCGCCGAAACTAGGGAGTAGGATAAGTAGGAAGATGATTCATAAAATTAATCTTTAAATATCAGCAATATTAACTTTAAAACTATTATATTTCAACAAAAAAAAAAACATATTTTGTAACATTATTTGTAAGGTGACCCTAAAAATTCAGATAACATTTATCTTAATGTGACGTTTGTTTAGGATGTAACAAATATTTTGTACTAATATATCGTTTCAAAGAATTTAACGATAAATCTCTCTTGTTGCAGTATTTATCTACGGAGCCATGCCGGCGACGTTATCAGTGCGCGAAGGATCATTCACTCGCTACGCCGTTTAAAACATCTTGATTATAAACGTACATCCCATATTAAAACTTTAAAATTTCATAAGAGAAATAGTGCACTAACTTTGTGGGTGTTATTTTGTGGGCGGCCATTTTGTAGTGCAGTGAACTCTTGTGACAAAATGGCGACAACGGGCAGTGAGATGTGGCTGCAATGGTTCGCGTGCTGCTACCAACCGGCAGCTCAGGCGCAGCGCACGCGACGGAGAATAGACCGCTCTATGATAGGAGCACCTACGAATTTCCAACATACGGGACACATAGGTAAGGCACTTATTTAGGTAGATTGCAGAAATATAGTCATCATTCATCCGCGTGAAATAAAAAAACAAAAGTAGCTTAGGTGTTCTTCCAGACTATGCCTAACATATATGCCAAATTTCATCGAGATTTCAGTCGATTAGTTGACAAACTCTAACAATCATAAATCGCATCAAACATTCGCATTTATAATATTAGTAAGATAATTCCTAATATAAGATTAAATTTTTACTATTACATCACTGCGCTTTAAGGTATAGTCAATTATATTAAGATTTTAACACACACATTAAGAATCCTATCAAATTCTTGTAAATTGTCAGATAACAATCCAATGTGATGGAAATATCGGATTTTGTTACTATCTGACAGTAACGTCATTTTTAAGCTATCTGAGCCTCTATCAGCCAGTGGTGGGACAGGTCCTATATCTAGTAGACATAACCCGTTCTTTAATTTCAAGAGGAATACAGCTTCTCCATTCTGTTACTGCTCAAACACAGATGTTTACAGTGACTGAATAACGAAGCTAATGATTTTCGATTTGTTCCACTTTCTTCACAAAAACAAACTACAATTGAACATAAATTTCCACTTGACGGCTGCTTGATAATGAGCATTATAAATTCACGACGACAACTGATGTCCGAAAAACAGGTCCTTATGTTATCTAACTGATCACATAACTGCGCTTTCACGTAACCGTAACGTCCCATAACTTTAAAAGTTGACATTTAACTTTGCATTGTTTTACAATCCTAATGTTTCTGTTTATATTCTGAATCGTTTTTGTCCCTTGAATTTACAGACAAATTAGCAGCAAGTAAAATTGTACCTTGTTCTTCCAATCGCATTTTTAATTTTATACATACAAGAATCTTAGATACAGAAGTACCGTTTAAAACCACCGTAACGGGAACATATGAAATTACGTAGTTGTAGAAATTATTATTTAATTGTAAATAATTATAATTTGAAAAACGCAGTTACAGTTCTTCTAGAATTGTATAAAATAGAAATTTATCTGACAGATAATTTCAACGTTAGATAATAAAATCATACCCACTGATCCCAAGAGATTTAAAAGCGGATACGAAACTAATCAGTTATTTTGACATTTTAATTGTAAACATAAATATATATATTAATATATGATTATAAATGATTTGTCACTTAAATGCACAAGACAGTGGACAAAGTGGGGTCGATAAACTTAACCACGCATGACGCACACATGCGCAACTTGCGACACTCATAATGTGCTTAGTAAACTTTTTTATTCGTACATTGTATCTATTTATACTTGAATAGATGAAGACTTTGCGTTATAACACTATTAACACGAACAACCTTAAAAATATAAAGAATTTTGTAAGATTGGAAATGATTGTACTGTTCATTTCGATGAGGATGAAAGGGATGACTTAGTAATCATATTTCAGTGAAAACCCACGGTAAGATAGCGTGGCTGATCCCCGTTGTTACCTTTGCCTAACTTTCTCTACTCTGATCTGAATATCGTATTGACGTAACAGTCACAAGCCGCTGATCCGAGATATCTTATCCAACTCTCGTGTCACTTCAAATCGGATTATCTATCATCGATGTATCGATATCGCGATATCATATCGATATCCCGTAACCTTCTCGAATGCAATGTAAACGACCCTATTTGAGGCGTATGTAGAAAATTACAATATCATTTGCATTTGCCCATAAAATAGGTTAATTATATTAAAAACCTTGATTAAATTTCAATTCATTAAAAAAAAAATTACACCTTGCTACAAAAGGTGCACCACATCTGCCACTACGTTCTTAATAAATAAATCTGTTTATTATTACTGTGCAATATTTAGCCCTTATTTTCATAACGATAAATTGTTACGCACAAGTCCTGTAAGTAAAGCTAAAATAAGCAAACCCTACACCAGACCAAGCGATGACCATCTTGTCCAAGCACGAAGCGACACAGCTAAATTTAAGCTTTATACTATGATAATAAGGTGTGTTCTATCTTCACTGCTTACATAAAACCTCATTACGATTCAACGAAGATGCATATACGAACCGAATTCGGCGTCAGACAGCCGGACGTAGCGTAGAAAGGGTTGCCAACATTAAACATTGATTGAACAAAAACAAAATAAAAGATATGTAACTTGTAAACTTAAGACTCCTTGGACGACGAGGAAAAAAGACGTCCGAACTTAGTAAATACCACGCAGTTTGAGACGATGAAATCGACGTTAAAACGCGTAGTAAATATTGGAAATTAGAAGTCATGGCAACCCTAAGCGCAAACATTGTGATACAATAAACTTAAGATGACGCCGCAACCACAACTAAAACTAGTGGACGCTATCAGGATAGCCCATTTTCATATCTACTTAATATAAAACAATATAAAAAGAGACACGAGTTACTACCTCATAATGTCTTTGTTGTTTCTTGAAATAAAACAAATTACTGTTAACTGCACATCAAACATTCTATAGTTCGTTAACTTAAATTTTACCTATCAGCATTTTAACAAGAAGAGTTACGAATTCGATAGCGTCTTTTTCAACAGGAAGCGGATAGATGTATTGCAAACTTACTGGTAAAGCAACACTAACAAAAAAAGCATAGAAAAACCTAATAACTTTCCGCCAATTAATCTGTCTTCTGAAATTGATTGCTTTTGATAATTACGATAAAAATCGACGCACGACAACTCACGTATTATTAAGTCTAGATTGCAATAATCTTTTAATAAATGATTATAAATCTCTAGTTTTCTTATAAAAACAAAGAAAGTAAAGGGTACGATTAAAGAAACAACACAAGGAGTCCCTCATTAGTACTTATTATTAAAAAATTTCTGCCACAGATAAACAAAAGTCATATCAATCTAGCTAATATAAATGCGAAAGTTTCGACGGATAGGATGGATGGATGTTTGTTAGAGTTTGTAGCCTAAACGGCTGCACGGATCTCGAAGAAATTTGGCTTAATTGTAGCGGATAGTCTGGAAGAACACATAGACTACTTATCTTTGTTTTAATTCCACGCGGACGAAATCACGGGCGAAAACTAGTTAATCATAAATCCAACCTAAAACACCAAGCGACGCATTTCGCAAACGCACATCTTTGATATATGCCACGCTATAGGGGGATTAACCTGGTTAAAAATAGAACTGGCCACATTAAACTATTTCTGGCCATCACACGCGGACGCTGCCGAATAATACAAACGATTATAAAAAAAATATTGGTTATGTGTGTATTAAAAATCAACCGTGATCGTGACTTACGTCTTCAATACTCTTGTTACCTTGAGCTCTTTTTTGTTTCTTTATAATACAATTTTATTATTCGTAACTACTTAAATAAAACAAACAAAAAATCACAAATCGTGATACACGATAAATCAATTACATAACGATTTATTTTTTTAAATGTCTATGCTTAAAACAGTCACTCTTTCATCTTAAAACTTACATAAAATGACAGAAATATCGAAGTATTATGTTAAACAGGATTCCAATTCGTTTAAATCCAACTATAATTTATGTAGATATCTAGATATTTTCTGATGTTTTAAATTATATTCTTTGCAATGGACAATCGTATGTTTATGTCGATGCGAGTGTCGGAAATAGCGGCAGAGTTCGGTGGCTTACTGAGTCATCGCTAAGGAAGCAGTACTCATGTAGGGCTACCCGCGACTGGACTTTAACTTGGCTTTTTAACATCATATTTCATACTAATATTATAAAAGTGAAAGTTTAGATGGATGGATGTTTGTTAGAGTTTGTAGCCTAAATAGCTAAACGGGTTACGATGAAATTTGGTAGAAATGTAAGAGAATACTCTTGAAGAACACATAGGCTACTCAATTTTGTTTTTTATTTTGTTTCACGCCGTTGTAGTCGGGGGCAACAACTAGTCTGCTATATTTGCAAATAACTTGTACAAAACAATTTAATAAAACATTTTCAAAATGTTTATCACAATGTTCTTGTATCTTCGTTATTTGTTTCTTTTGTATAACACAGCATAAATTTTCCTTAACGATACTTTCCAATGAAAAAGCTAAAATATTCCAAGCGTTTACCTTAAACTATATTATCCACGATTTATTCAGCATGCCTATATAATCAAGCCTTTGTTTGCTTACGGATAAATATCTACTTGCAGTAGGAACTCGGATAAAAAAGTGCCCGTAAATACAAAAAAGTGAACTATTAATTACAGCGCCATCTAGCGATTATGTTATCAACTTTTTAAGAAACTACAATAAGTACTCCTCGTACCTGACACCAGTAAAAAGCTTTTAGAAACCCGTATATGAAAAATGATATCAAATACAAACCATTGGGCCTACATTATAAATCAAACTGAACAATAGGTACAATGTGATGTCCTAAATGTAACAATAGAATTTAGTTTCCACGATAGTCGAAGTCACCATTCTGATTCTTCACACCTTGACAAATGAACTGAAAGCGAAACTTGTGCGAATAAGTTTCGCTTTTATACCTTGAATACAATAAGCGATAGAAATTATTTTTTTTGAACATAAATAAACAATAACACAAAAGTAATCATAAAAAAAATGTTTGAATCTAGAAACACGCTTATAACTATTATAAAACGACTCCTTCCTAACTATGCATTTGAAGCCAAAACATCTTTACAATATATAATAAACTAACTTTCGCCCGCGACTCCGTCCGCGTGGTATTAAAAATAACAAAACCAAGTAGCCTATGTGTTCTTCCAGACTATCTTCTACATTTATGCCAAATTTCATTGAGTTCCGTTCAGCAGTTTAGGCCACAAACTCTAACAAACATCTATCCATCCATCCATCCATCCATCTAAACTTTTACATTTATAATATTAGTATGATAATATAACATCTCTATATATCTATACTTCTGTACTAAAATTATAAAGAGGAAAAATTTGGATTTTTGTATGTATTCGATTCACGTAAAAACTACTGGGCCGATTTTAAAAATTCTTTCACCATTATAAGGTAATTTATCTGTGATTAACATAGGCTACATTTTTTTTTATTATTGTTATAATTTCACGTGAAGTCGCGAGCAACAGCTAGTATGGAAAACCTTAAAGATTTTAGAGAAGAGATATAGTTTGATTTTGCATTTAAATAACAAATTAAAATAAAATCATCATCTAGAAGAAATATTTCTCGTTAATCTGTAGATGTGTTTACAGAGTGTTTTTGCATTAAATCATTTAAGAACCATTGGCCACGGGAAAGTATACGAGAGGCCGAGATTGCTAACTTTCTAATACGTATGATGAGAACCTTACCTTGGTAATCTAGGATGGAAAACGTAAGGTCATAGGTTTGAATTCTAGATAAGTTTTAACTTCATCGTAAATTAGAAAATATTAACGCAATATGCGTTCATGTCGTGATATTTTTAATTAATTTAATATTTAGTAATGTTTATTACTATTTTGCGAATAATTACATTATACAATAATGTTACTTTAAATAATGATTTTCTTGTAATAACTTTGAAAGACACTGCCTAATAGATTATAGGAGTATGCACAAGTCCATCTATTACAGCTAAAAGCTCGTCAAATTATAAAACTTTCAAACCATAATAAAACCATTAATGTTATAGAAAACGCCTACATTACATTTGACCTTAATGATGATATCCAGGAGTTATATTAAAGCCGAGTTCCAGTTCAAAATCTTTGTACGGTTAGCTATCTATCAGAATTGTACATATTAACTTCAGACTATTTCGTAAAAACTACGATATTTCTAATGTAAATATGAAAAAAATAAATGCTAAGTAGGGAATTTGTTTTGTTAGGTTTACACTTACATATCTTACTAACATTACAAATAAGAAAGTTTAGATGGATGGATGGATGTTTGTTAGAGTTTGTAGCCTAAACGGCTGAACGAATCTCGATGAAATTTAGTATAGATGTAGAGGATAGTCTGGAAGAACACATAGGCTACATTTTTTTTTAAATTACACGCAGATGGAGTCGCTAGTATTACATAAAATTAATACAATAATGTCTGCTTGCTTATTAACTTGATGTAACACTATCCGACCCAATTCTGGCAGACACAAAACATCGTTTCATTTTTACCGCGCTCGGTTGCGCCACTCATATGGGTCACGACAACAAACATTAATCAAGCACAGCTGGTTTATTATTACAGAACCATCAGTGTTAGTTTCCACAGTAGAAAGTGAATTAAATTCATCATTTGTGTAGTCCAGACACAACACGCAATATCAATTAGATAAACTTTTACAATCCATTCTTGCAATTTTAGTTCATTTCCCCTTCAGCTTCTATAGGGAAGGATAATTTGAACTGGGTCGCCTGTATCTTAAGGACACACACATTTTTTTTCTTTTTATATTATAAGGCGGCGAACAAGCAAGCGGCCACTTTACCTGAATCCGCCGAAACGGCGAAGCGACATAGACATTCGTAATACCGGATGTGTTGCCTACCTTTAATTAATGAAGGAAGAGACGCACATAAACAGGATATTTCCCCTTCCTATGCGTCTCCTACGCCATGTTACCTTCCCATCCATTTCTTATAAGACGGAGGGAGTGACAATATACCATAGGACGTTGTATTTCATCGGTGCCCAATCAATACTATATATATGTTGTTTTCCGGTCTCTACCACTGTTAATTCTATGGTCAATCTGCCCATACTTACAGAAACATCTCTATATTTATTCACCAGTGGTAGTGCCCGCTTTAACATCTTAGCACGAATGGGCCGACACGCCCGGTGTAATACCACGACCACACAGAAGACAGGCGTGAAATGGAAGCAATTCCGTGTTTCGTCTGATGAGTGTGGTGCCGAAGTCCTAATTTAAGTCCCTTTCCCTTTACCACCCTTTTCTTATAAAGAGAGGATGGGAAGGGGAAGTGGATTAGACGGTGGAGGAGATGCATAGGAAGGGGCAATATCCTCTTTATGTGCGTCTCCTCCTCCATCGGGTAAAGGTAGGCAACGCATCTGCGATCGCGGATGTCTATGGGCAGCGGTCGCTTCGCCATTTTGGCGGATTCAGTTGGCCGCTTGCTCGTTTACCACCTTATATTATAAAAAATAAAAACCCTTTGTGTATGTTTTATCTCACACTATTGAATAGCGTATTAATATGCAATAATTACTTTAATTGTCGTTTGTACAAGAATGTACACGCTTTACCTTTCTAGGTATAACAGCTCGATTGGTCTCACGATACATTCGCCTCTACTCTATTGTAATGAGAATACGTGAGATTTCATGTCAATCCGTTTGTTATAATGAGTGTTATAGTGCATGCACAACTTTGACTAAACTATCGCACAACTGTTTCGTCTCGCTTTGATTCCTATAAGCTTTTATGCAAGCTTATGTGCAACTAAACAGTTGGCTGCGAAACAATCGACAATCGCACAATAGTTGATCTAAATACACACAAAAAACTTTCAACAGCAGATGAAAGGAAAAAACGAGTTTTATTTGTGTTTCAGTTGCATGTTGATTAAAACGTTTTGTTTTTTTATGTCTATATTATATATTGCAGTTTTTTTATGTCTGATACTAAATTTTATACAGTAAGAGGTCAGGGTCACGACAATTTCCTTCACAATATGACCTCTGGGGACCTTGGCGTAGTCACGAAGATTCTGCCACTTAAGTACATTTATATGTACAAATCCCAGTACAGATAAATGAGGTAATAATTCAATTCAATTTATATCGAGTATTTGGGCAGCCCCTTTGCCTCCTTCCTTTCCTACGGCAATTCCTACAATTTACCTGTCTGTCTATTATTTTTAATAAAATGACACTTTTTTAAACTAGAATTACTTTAATTTTTTTTTCATATTGCTTGTTTTTCATAAATAATTATTTCTTTCCCTTAGACGTATATACGCTGGCTACAATTTCTTATTTTCTATCTGACATACACTTGAATAAATAATTTTTCTATTGTTACTTGCGTATGCAAAAATTTACTGACGTATTATTTATTAACCTCATTACGATAACTTGGATTAAAACTACAATGAACTAATTTTTATAATTAACTTTCGATTGGAATAATCTTTACAAAAATATGTATTTATCTATGCATTGTTGTATAAACGATTACTTTGTTTCATCATCAACTTGCCCTTATCCCTTACGGAGGGTCGGCACAGTATGTGCTGCTCTTCCATACATCTCTATCAACCGTCATATCTGAATCCACTCTGGTATATACGATTACTTTGTTTCTTGTATATAAAAGTACTATTTGATTTATTTTTAATTCTTTTGATACCGTCAAGATAACCTTTTAAGGTTATATGAAAAGTAAATGAACGATTATAAAAATTAATAAGATTAGGAAACGGATGAGACTTTTAACTATAGTGTATTTATGTTTATAGTTTTAGTTATATACTTTAGTGTTTAACATGGTTTTAATTATTTGTGACCTAAAAACTATACTAATACTACTCGTAATTATTGAAAATTTAAATTAGCTAATTTTTGAATATTGCTGCTGCTATTGCTCGCGACTTCGTAAAGTAATAAAAAATATCGGTCCAGTACTTTTGACTTATTTCAATACATTCTAAAATACAAATCTTTCCTTTTTATAATATCAGTGATAAAATGATATTTTTTATAAGTAATTTTATCGCTACATTAGATTTAGAGAAAAATATTCTGTGTTTTGCTAATTTTTTTTACCCGAGACATCTTCACACAAAAAGCTTTTTGAGACATGCTTAAGTAGACAAACTGAAGTTTTCTAGTACTATTCTAGACGTAAATAAGATAATAGTATACATAACAAATATGCTTATGTTACAAAATTATAAAGTTTTGTCTTAGTAAATATAAAAGCGTAATTTTACAGGGATGGATGGGTGTTCGTTTCTTTGTAATTTTATTTGATTTCAACGACATATAGTAATTAATCTTATACTTGATTTTTTAAAAAAGATTTACATGTTCCATTGCTTTAAACATTGTGCGTATATAAGCACTATGACTATGACATTCAGAAGACCGCGACCTCGTCGTCGACCCCTCGCGTGCGTAACCACCATTAAAATAATTTTGACAATTACGCTATATTCCTTGATGACACGCTATCAATGTAGCTATATTTTTAACCTCATTTAGCTTTCGCCCGCGAATCCGTCCATGTGCGAATTAAAAAAAGTGCTAAAAAATCTATGTGTTTTCTCTACATCTATACCGAATTTCATCGAAATTAATTCAGCCGTTTATGCTACAAACTAACAAACATCTGTCCATTACTTCCATCACTATCATTAAAAAAATCTAGACGTATTTCAGTTTACAATTCTGAATTGTTTATTTGTAAATGTAATAGGTATTGGTTGTCATTCCAGGATCTACGGACGTCGATATGCCATCGTCATTGCTGCACACGATACAGAACCAAATGCAGAGCAAAGGTGGCTACGAAATGCCTTATGGAGTTAAGGTAAATTTAAAATTTATCTTAAAAAAGACTAAATACTATCGTAGAACATAGTACTATTTTGATAGTTTATAAAAAACAGCAACAGATATTAACATTAAAAAAGGAATAAAAAACAATGGGCTTTTTTTAAATAAGTCTAAAAGAGATGATTCAGCCGCGCTCCCTTAGCCAAGGCCATTTTTTTACAATAATATACTCGTATTATTCGTAGTTTCTATTCAACATAATAATATTTTTATTCGTCTATTTTAATGATTTTTCTAACTAAAAATCTTTATATTACAGGTGTACTAATGCTGTTTGGACTTTAGTGAACCAACCAACGTGTTATCGTATGATCTTATATACTATATTTATTATTGAAAATAGAAATTAAGTTATAATTTTAAGATACAGTGTACATAAGTCATGACCGAATTCGGTGAAAAAAAAACTAAAAAAGTTACCTAAGTGAAAACAAGTCCTACGCACAAGGTTATACATAAAATTAAAATAAACAAAAACTTCGGCTAACATAGCAAGAAAAATAACAAAAAAACCTTACTATTGTCTTTGGGTATGAATCATAAATTATCTCCAATACAATTTTTTTTTTTTAGTTATTTTTCTAGCAAACTGAAAATTGTTAGTTAATTTGTTTACAACGAAAATTTTGATTTTACATAATTAACCCTTAATTCAATCGTGTCATGTATGACGAACAGCTAATTTAAAAAATCTACTAAACCAGTTTATTTCATATCCAAAAATATGACAACTAAAAAAAAATTTTTTTGTGCAAAAAAACTCTGTCCACTTAAGGGCATATGACTCACCAAAAAAATCAGTTTTTTTTTGTACAAAAAACTCCGTCGACAGGGGTTAATATATCCTTTTTTATTTTTAATAGACAATACTGTTGCCAAACTTTTAGTATTATAATGCAAATACTAAAATACACTATAAGTTATTGAATTTTCTCATCAAGGTGAATATTGTATATTTTTAATATAAATTACAAAAATGTTTAATGCATGGTATATCATAAATTAATAACAATATGTAGCTATTGAAATATTTTTTTTTTTCAATTTATGTCAACAATTTTTTTAAATCATGTCGAAATTTAAATAAGAACAAACTATTTAGTCATTTTAAAATGAAAATATTAATTCAATAATTATATTATAGTGATAATAATATAGATTTTTTAACTATGTTTTGTGAGATAACGTGAAAAATAACGATTTACCTTTCCCTTCACTATTAAAACCGTCTTCCTTTATTTTAATTATATTTGATATATATTCCGTCGAAACTGCCTTAGTGTAACCCTATCGTGATAATTCAGGGTTTTTCCCATTGGGCCGATGGAGTCCAATCAACGGGAAAAAATCTTATATGGCGTATCGATCGGTCCAATAGGAAACACTTGTAATTTGTTAATTGTTCATTTTTAATTGCATGCCAGTTTTTTGTATTTACAATTCTTATAAAATAAAAAAAATAAACCCTACTCAAATAACGTTCAAAAGATTCTTTTACATAGAAATCTTAATCGTATATAGGTTTTGGTTTTATATGTACTCCACATATATGACAAATACATAGTGCCGGAGGCCCAATTTTAGTCCCTCTTCCTTCCACCCTTTTTCTCATAAGATTAGGATGGAAATGGAAGGTGGATTTGATGGTGGAGGAGACGCATAGGAAGGGGAAATATCCTCTATGTGCGTCTTCTCCTCCGTAGATTAAGGGTAGGCAACGCAAACACTTTTGCAGATATCTATGGGCAGCGGTCGCTTTGTCATTTCGGTGGATTCAGGTGGCCGCTTGCTCGTTTGTCATCTTATGTTAAAAAAAAAAATTACAAAATTTACAAAGGTCTTGCATAGTCTTGCTCTGATTCCTAAAATTTAAATCCATAAGTTTTATGCGTTTGAAACTTACTAAGAAAACTTTATGTATTGTAGTGACATTGTAATCAGGTGACTGAAGGAACATGTAGAATTTTTTTTTTTGACGCCGAGTGTAGTATTATATTTTTCATATATCTTGTCTGCTCTGAAGTGTGCAAGTGTTTAGAACCTTCATGATATTTGAAAAACGTAATACCAAGTCTTTTTATTCGCCGTATTTTAGCATTACTTTATAATTGCAAATTATGTACTTTGAGTGAACTATTTGTATTAATTTTTAGCTATTATAAAACTTAGTTTGATTGTAAAATTATTAGAGAAGGTGCATATTTTGACTACTATAGCACAACTGTGTGAGATTCTCGATTGCTTCGCGAGTAGTGTGCGCACCTCCATATAAACTCATAGGAATCAAAGCGAGACAATAGTCGTGCGATAGTTCAGTCAAAGTTGTGTGCGCGGTCTACAGTTAAAAGCGTGAAGTCAGGTAGAATTTAAGTATACATTTGTGAGAAATTAATTTAGTTAAGTGTGCTAATTTTAAGAAAAATACGTAATCCAGCTATTGTTAGAAAATGGCGGCGAAATTCGAAATGAAAATATGTAACCAATTTCAAATATTTTTGAAAATAAACTTTCGTTTTTTGTTAAAACAAGTAAAACCGAAGTAGTCGTGAGCAGAAGGTTTGCCGATGAATCTTCCCTTTAACTCCGACCGAAACTCGTTCCTCTGCTCAGGAAATCAGTTAACGTGTTACGACAAGAAACCATCGGCAAACCTCCTGCGCACGTAATAGGTAATATATCTCCGTCCATAAAAACTTCGGTTTCTACTATTTAATGTTAAATTCAAAATTAAAAAAAAAAATTTTCAATGTAGTAATGTGCTGATTTTTTTAAAAAAAAATAATTTTTTTCTCGTATTCGTCGCCAATCACATTTGTTACATTTGAGTGGTCTCCATTCGTTTCAATATAAAATAACAGATCAATTTAATATATCAATTATACCAAATCATTGTTAAATTTAACTTTAAGTATATTTTGCAGGTTGTTAGTCGATTTCTCGTATTTAATTACTTTATAAAAGTTGTCTTGATATTTTTTGTATAATGTAGATACAATATTTACGAGATTTCTCGTCAATCTCTGTAGTCTTCTTGCCCGAGTAGTTTGGGCACTTGAATGACTGAGAAAGAGGTCCGAGAGACTATAAGGGTCGCCATACAAGGACTGATAGCAAGCAGTACCGACTTTAAACAGTCGACGTAGACGTCCGTCATTTATAGCGGGTTTTACAAATTGCTGTTTCAACAGCTTGGATCGATCCGTGTATGGCGACCTTAAGATATTTGGATATATAGATTCTGATATTTGTCTATTAGCTGTCCCTTAAATTTTTATCAAGGGTATGTTTTACATCGTTGTAATTTTGTCATTTTTATATTAAAACGACAAAGGTTACTGAATCAATTGTTTGATAAATACTTTTTACATTAGAACAATATATGACAATATATGAAATGAACTCCATTGTTTTATTTATATATTAGCTTTCCAAACTCCGTCCGCGTGGCATTAAAAAAAAAACAAGTAGCCTAGGTGTTCTTCCAGACACACACACAGACACCTCTACGCTTATGCCATATTTCATCATGATCCGTTCAGCCGTTTAAGCCACAAACTCTAACAAACATCCGTCTATTTAAACTTTCACATTTAAAATATTAGTAAGAAGTAAGATAGATATTTGCTAGTGACTTCTATCTGCGCAAATTAAAAAAACTTCCACGCTATGTTCTACGTCTGTGGCAAATTCAGCAAGATCCGTATAGCCGTTCTGGAGATACCTCGTAACAACCATACATCTAAACTTTTGCATATACAGGGGTTATTGGTAATTCGACGTATTTCCGGTAGGAAAGGATAATTTGTGACAATTCAGGCCGACATACGCATTATCCTAAGGTGATCCTTTTTATATCTTGCTTTTTAGATTTTTTTAAATAAGTAAAAAAGTAAACTAAAAAATTGTATTAAAGAAACTGTCAAATATTGAACAATAACCCTTAATACTAAGATAATTATCGAGATAGAAATGAAACCTGAATATCAGTTATTAACAAATTTATTGCGGTCACAAAACACAAAAAAAAACTTCAAAATCAGGTACAAGTTGATAAAATTGTAAAAAATCAATACCGGCCACTTAGCCGAAGTTATCACTGGGAATTTTCACTGTCTTTGAGAAAGGTCGGGAGTCTCATCTCTTCCTGTGCCTGTGCTCGGAGCGCGCGGCGTTCGCTTTCGAAGGCTTCTCTTTGTACCGGCTGTCGTCTGCACATTACATTTAACTATTTAAAAATCCGTGGGACTCCACGAATTTATAAGTTCATACAAAAACAATTTTTTTAGACAAACAAATGACAATATCGGAAAAATACTCTTTCATATTTTAAAGCAAAATAAAATAATCAGTAGAAGATAAACGGTAGGGACCTTTTGCTCTAACGGTCGAATACAGAACCTCATACAATCTGATAGACACCAAAAGTTATTGGAATTTTGATTTTAAGTATAACATTTAAGACGTTTAATATTTAAATTTTGTTTCAATATTCGACCGTTACGTGGGGTAACAAGATATGTTTGTGACCTCGTTCCTTGCGGCGGTGACGGCGGTCGCGGGAGGCGCGCGAGTCCGGCGAGGAGCGGCGCCGCACTGGGGACTCCGCCCACCACCAGGCGGGCGGCGGCGCGCCCGGCGGCGGGCAGCCCGCCCCGCGCCCGCGCAGCTCCGGCACGCACATCGTCGCCGCAGACATCGGACATGGAATCTACAGGAAGATAAACAAACGATTACAATTAAAAAATATCTTGTACACGAACTCCAAAATATAGAGGCGGCATAGTTGAAGTTTCACTTGAAGCATTTTCACAAGATCTTACTAACGCTATCTACTTCAAAACCACATGAAATATAAGTAATTGTATCTAAATAAATGTATTTTTATGTTGTATAATATTTTATTACATGTCAATACTAGGAGTCGAGGTGGCATACTAAATTTAACCTTTCAGAGAAAGCACCATTAATGAACTATTCACTATGCCTCGCCTATTTTTTTAAATGCTTGCTTATATAGTATTCGACGTTTAAGTTGGCACGTCGGGTACAAGGGCTCTCTAGTTTCTAACGTGCCAACTCACCGGCGGGTATGCGGCGGGTAGCCTGTATGAGACGGGCGGGGGTGGCTCGCTCTCGGCGCAGGGTGGGGGCGGGGGCGGCGGCGCGCGCTGCGGGCTGTCGGGGCTGGCCAGCTGCTTCTTCAGCGAGTTAAAGTCGTTGCTCATGTCGCGGTATCGCTGCAGACACTCCTGCCACATGCCAGCCATCTCCGCCATCTCTGAGCGCTGCTTGTTGATCTCCTCCTGGGTTTATAAAAATTACACCGTAGAGATACTGATAACAAGAGATATCGATAATAATCTGAATTAAGAAAGAAATGGAAAATGAAGCCAACGAGATGAAAAGA